GGCCGCAGCGGCCCCTTTGCTTGCACACAGGACTGTCAGGTCCCCCGGGAGGCTCAGGCCTGCAGGAGTCTTCTTGCCGTGGGGCAGGTACCTTCCTCCAGCCAGGGAGCTGCCTCTGAGCCCTCAGGCTTTCGGGCCATATGGTCCCCACAAAGGAGGCCACAGGCGCAGACCACCGCACACCCCAGCCCTACTCCCAAGGCAGCTGCAAACTCAATGCCTCCTGCCCACGCACCGGCCCACTTGGGCCCCAGGCACCTCCCCTCCCTTCAGGGCCACCCCTGCTTCTCACGCCCAGCTGTGCCGGCTCAGGGGCTGTGCATGGGGACGGCAGGACAAGGCTCTGGGTCTCCTGCCCAGGCAGGGTGTGAGGGACAGCCAGGAAGTGAGCCGAGAGCAAATGGATGAATGGACACTGCGTGGCCATGTGAACAGGGAGGGGAGGGCAGGGAGGTGCCTGCCTGAGTCACCTGGTGGCTCTAGGCTTCTCTGCTCCCTGTCCCTCAGTGCATGCCAGCCGGGTGGAGCCACTCTGCCTCCCCAGGAGTAAGGAGCAGCCTGGCCCAGGCCCAGCAGCCTCTGGTGAAGGGGCCCTTAATGAGCTGCACAGCCAGCTGATCTTGACCCCATTCTGGCCACGCGTGCTGAGGAGGAAAAGCACCCTCCCTGCCTGTCCCCAATCTGCGTGGTGAGAGCGGTCAGCTGGTCTCCAAGCCAGGGGTGTGCTGTGAGGCAGCAGCGGGACAGGACCGGTCCCTTGTTTTCCTGCTGGCCCTGGAGACAAACTGCAGGGTCCTCTTTTACCACAGAGCAGGGGTTGCCCTTCAGAGCAGCAGGCCAGGCTCCTAGGCCAGGTGCACCCAGGGTCCTTGGGTGGCAGGAGAAGGGCGAGGAAGCAGGAGGCAGGGTGAGGGGAGCTACAGCGGCCGAGGTGAGGCAGTCAAGGGTTTTGACCAACCTAACCCAATTCCTTGTCTCTTCCCTCTCACAGGCAACCTCTCCCCACCCCTCAGGAGCAGAAGGGACACAGACTTAAAAACCTCTTGGGTTATGAAAACCAGGTTTCCCACAAGGAAAGTGGCACATTCACTCTGTGCTGAGCCAGGCCCAGCTTCCAGCTCCCTGCCTCAGACCTCTGTGCAGTTCCTGAAGCTCACTGCACAGAGTGAGGAGCCCTAGAGCAGCCGCTGATCCCTGCTGCCCACATAAGCGTGTGTGAGGGTGCACACGCACATCACAGACACATGCACACAGCATTCATACACACACACGCACGCTCACGCATGCAACCAGCCTGGCTGGGCCAAGAGAAGACCCGCACACCCCCTTCGCCTCCCCAGGTTTCTGGGCTCAGGTGCAGGCTGAGGTGACCTGCAGCATCCGCCCCATCTCTGGGGTGATGGAGACCTGCCCTCCTTTTCCTGGTGCTTCCAGGAAAGTCAGACAGTGCAGTGTGGGCAGTGTGCACCGTCCAGGCCCCCATGGGTGCGGTTCTGCGAGGCGGAGACTGTGCTAGGCCTCTCTCCATTGGCTGGACTGGGCAGGTAACCAGAAGCTGTGCTGCGAGGTGCATAAATAAAGAGTGAAACTAGTACCACCTCCTTGGAATGGGCTGCTCCCTCTGCTCCCTCGCTAAGGAAAAACCAGTTTGTCTTTTTTACTGTCTGTCTCCAACCTCTCCTCTAAAAATTCAACTGAATCCCAGACCACGCGCCTCCGTGCTCTCTCCTTCCCGGCTGCCTTAGTCCCCTCCTCGGTTGCACGTCCCCTGCTTTCCTGTCTCCTTCCTCTGTTGAGGACCAACCCCTGCTGTCCCCAGGTGCCTGCTGGCGGGCACTCTGCATAATAAGTGCCCCTCTGCTCCCCCTCGCCCGGACCCCTTCCGTCCCTCACATCTGCGTAACTCTTCAGCCATCTTTGCGCTCTGCGTTTTCATTACCACAGAAGCTATTTATTATTTTGCATCAAATGCAGAGCTGGGCCCTGACATCTGAAGGTCCAGAGATGCATACATACAGGTGAGTCTGAAACCTCTGCATTGGGGGGCTTTGTCAAACCAGAGCCACAGACCTCAGTTAGGAAGAGAAGAGTGGAAAGGGCCCTTTCCATGGGAAGTAAATCACCAGCCGCCTTCAAGGCCAAAGTGCCTGAACCTGCGGCATTTTAAGCAAATCCCCAGCTGCTCCAACGCTGTCCTGAGGACTCCCAGGATCTGGCAGTAAACCAGTGATAGTGGGCACTGGTATGGTGATGTGTGTGCTGAGCAGACCAGAACCAGGGTCACACTGCCCTGGAGAGCAGGGGTGGCTTTCAGGGCAGGATGCACGGTGGGTGCAGCCTTCCTGGGGAGGTGCTGCTGTTCCTTGGGTCTCATGTCCAAGTTGGTTGGATTAGGACAATGTGAGGCACAGTTCCAGGAGCTAGGGGCGCAGAGCAGCCCAACGCATGCACAATGTGTTCAGCGGCCTAACTGGACCCCGTGCAAGGCCAGAGCAGAGGCCGCTGAGGGACCAAGCCAGCGCCAGTGTGGCAGAGAAAGGAGCCTCAGCTCCAGCATGCGGTTCAGAGTGGCCGGGGTCCTGCCGGGATGCCACTCAGCTTTCTTTTCCCTACCCAGTGGCAGCCCCAGGTCTGCAGGGCGGGAGAAGGGGAAGTGAGCAGGATCAGCCACTCCTGAGCTCACTGCCATCAGCTGGCACGCTGTCCACCCTCACGGGGGCCCGCACCCTGAAGGGAAGGCCCCACATGCAGGCCGGCTCTACACACAGAGGTGAGGAAGCCAGGAAGCTAGGAACCCCGCGCACCGCACATGTTGGGAGCATTGTGTGTGGGGTGAGGTGGGTTTGGAGGAAGAGGCGGCCTTTTTCCTTTGAAAGTTGAACAGAAATACAAATAGAAGGCAAAAGAGCCTTCCGTGGCAGGCCAATCACTGCCCCTCTCCCTGCCGTTGTGCATCAGAGCCAAGAAAGGCAGGCCCTTTCTTCCTGTTGACCAAGCTGTGGGTCCCGGGTGGTACAGGGAGATTATGCCTTCCAGGCTGCCCCCACGCAGGGCACATTTCTCCCTTGGTTGGGAATGGTGAGTATTCCACAGAAGGCTGTGCTGGAGAGGACGAACTGAACTTCCTCTCAGAGCCCAGACCTCTGGCCCTCAGCAAGCCCTGCATTCACCCTGACAAGATCCTCACATCCAGAACAAAGACAGTGGCTCAGCCGCAGCTCAAGACCCCGGGCCTTTGTTCAAGGGCTTCTCAGTGAGGCCCCAGGCCCAGGTGCTGGCTGTGGGAGGAGGAGCTGCCCGCCCTCCCTGCTTCAGGTCAGAACAAGCCCCAGGAAGCAAGGACTCCAAACAACAAGGTGGATCTGCCTGCACCCACCCAGTCTGCATGTTGGTGCTGAGAACAGCCTTTTATGGGGCTTATGCTGAGCCCCGGGCATGTCTGAACGAGGCGGGAAGTGGCCAGCCTACAGGGCTCCTCAGCAGGTTGGCAGGCATTTTTTTTTTTTAAGGGAGGTCAAAAACTTTGATAGTCTGTGTCCTCCCTGCTGGGCTCAGGCCCTGGGAGCCAGGCTGGACCCCTCTTGTCCCTCCTCAACGCACATCCCCATGCCCAGTGGAGAATCAGTTGAACCATTTCCGGGCAGATTTGGGGAAGGACACTGGGCTGCTGGCGGCTGGCTGGCCTAGGTGAATCACCCCATCCTTTCCAGCCCCACGACCAGCCTCAACTCCTTGCCCTCTGCTTTCTGGTTCCTCACTGGCACAAGGGCCTGCACAGTGCCAGCCAGCCCGTGCACAGCACTCCTGGAGAGGAACACCCCACCCCTGCCTTCCACATCACCGCCAGTTCAGAGTAGTGGGACTCCTATGAAGCAGAATCCCTGCTTCTCTGGGCAGGACCAGCTGTGCCAAGCTCAGTATGGGTGAGGACAGCCAGCACCCCACGTGTGGGAGCGCAGGGGAGGGTACACGTGGGACAGCCACTTCGGGGGTGAGAAATGGCCCAGAGCCCCTGGCTCCACAGTCCCTCTGCACCTCTCCTTTTTGTCTCACTGTGAGCCAGGCACTGGGGTGTCTTAAGGAGTGGGCTCCCTGCAACCGGCTAGAGGATGTGATCCCTGGGGAGGAATACGATCATCCAGGTCCTCAGTTTCTCCCAAGACTGTGATGGGAGGGCCCCGAAGGCCTCAGCCTGACCCCAGGTCCGCATGCAGGGTCCTGGTCACCACGCAGAGCAGCCTCTGGAAGAAGGAGGCCCCAACAGTCCACGTGTTCTCTTGTCCTTCATTCCACCGGAGTCTGTCTGCTGCCACCAGACTTCAGTGGGGTGAAGCTCAGGAGCCGTGGAGCTGCCACCCGGGGGCACAGCAGCAGCAGCAGCAGCAGCAAGAGTCATTCTGCCCTGAGAGCCATGCACCCCGTGAGAAGCATGGCTGCTGGTGCACATCTGGGCCACGCCTTTCTGCAGAGCACGACAGTGGCAGGCTGGGGAGAGCACCGCACACGGGAACACGGTGTCTCTTGTCTACACTGATGCTATGGGAGTGTATGTTTTCTGTAACTTGTGAAAATTAAAAGCTTCCCACCAGCCATAAACTTTCCCAGCCTCGTGTTCGTGCTGGGAGGAGTGACCCCCACCACCCTGAGTGCTCAGATTCCAGGCAGGAGCTAGAAGCATCAGCACCAGCTCCCTGTGTCTCTGGGGCCCCCAGACAGGTGGCTGGGACTCTGTGCAATCAGCAAAGAACCCTGCTGCCCTCTGACTCCCCACAGTGCCAGCAGGACCTGCAGGATGGGGTAAATTACTCCGTTCAGATTCTTTAAAACCCATTTATATTGTAATAAAATAAATGTAAATAAGATTTAAGTGAAGGCAGATTGCAGATATTTCAGACACTGTACAAGATAGATCTCAGAACATGGATATAAATTCTGCAAAGGTTAATGCAGTTAAACATATTTGACACATAAAAATGTCAGACCCAACATTAATCACTCACCAGTTGTAATTGCCTTTATATGGGTCTCTTCTCCCTGAGACATATGCTTGAAACTCCAGGCTCAGTAGAAATCTGGAAAGAAAAAAACAAATAATACTTCTCAGCTGTCAAGGTCTGTGATTTGCTTTGATAGATTTAGCACTGATTTCAGCAGCTTCACCCTCCTGTGTGATTGGTATTTTTTTAACTCCTCCTCTGTCCTTTAGGGAAGGAGAAGGCAGGGGACAGAGGAGGGCCCCTGAGTCCAAAGGAAGTGGACACCCTGCCCAAGCTTGCGGTTCACTGCTCCTCTTCCTCCAGCAAAGGCGTCCCCCTCAGGGAGCCGGTCTGGCCAGAGGCCAGCAGGGACACGGCCGGGCTCCACAGGCCCTCAGAAGGCTGATTTCCCTCCAGAATGTGTCGCAGGCAGCCAGACTCGGCAGGCCACCAAAGTCCCGTGTGTTCCTGTATGGGGCCTACGATGAAAGCAACCCCAGCTCTGGAGATAGGCTCCGACCCTGCCCTCGACTCCCCACTAACCAGTGATGCAGGAGAGCAGGGTCCCCACAGCCCTGCGCCAGAGAAAGGAAGACAGTGACAGGCTGAAGTGGGAGCAGGCGGGGGGAGCACGTCTCCCAAATGCTTCCTTCGAGATAATGCAGACTTAAAGCCTCGTCCCCGTCGCCCCACCAATTCACCCTGAACCTCAGAAAGGAACTAGGAGGCCAAGCCACAGGCATGTTTTAAGAACCTGTTCACTCACAAAATACTGTAGTGAATCGGATGGGAGCGCGTGGGTACTGAGCTAACCACGCAGACGGCTCTCCAGCAGGCAGGTGCTGAGAGAAGCCGGGTGGGAACAAAGACAGCCAGGCACAGCTGGAGCCTCCGTCCTGGGCTCCGTGAAGGAAGCAGGGAGCTTGTGCGGAGGCTGGGTAGGGGGCGGTGGCAGGAACCACAAAGGCCCAGAGCCAAGGGAAGGCAGAGCTGCAACCACAGAGGCCGGCCCCACACCCCAGACTGCTGGCTCCCTGGAGGGTGGAGAAAGCGCGGAGCCCAGGCGGCACCGAGCTCCGCAGTGAGCTGCCCATCCATCTCTGTCCTGCCCCGCCCTGCTGTCTGTAACCGCACTGCAAAGCTCAGCTCCCAAAGCACAGCACAGAGGAAATGGTTTAATCAACATTCCTGTGCAACAGCGGCAACAAAAAATAATGTTACCCTGCTCTTCATTGACGATCTTTTATTGAGGCGAAAGGCGAATATCACTGAGTCGAACCTGAATAGACAAATGTATACAGTGGTGGGTAATGTAACATTTTGTGCTAAAGGTATACACTGTAGATACAGCCCACAAGGAGTAAATTACAATGCTATCAATAATACATCACATCTGGGCTCCGGTTTCCCAGAACAGAAGAAAATGTGCACTGGCAAAGGCTCTCTGAATATTAAAAGCCACACATACAACCAGGCAAGGAGGTTACAAAGTGAGAACTCTGCAGCACCGAGTCCTGCTTCTGTTTGGAGGCCTTTCTGGGGAGAGGAGCCCCACTGTCCCTTCTAAGCCTGGTGCTAAAGGAAGACCCCACTCACACACACAGAGACCTCTGCCAGAGAACGGCTGCAGTCAGGGCCGGGGCTCAGGCTGCATCCATGTGGCCCTGCCTCTGGTAAACATCTGGGGTGTCCTGGGCCCCACTGATGCTGGACAAAGGACTCCAGAGAGCCCCAGTGCAGAAGGCAGTGTCTACTGGAAACACCGTTTTGCTCATCCTCCTCCTGACCCCAGCCTCCCCATGTGTTTGGGACCTTGGGAAAGAAAAGAGGAGGGAAGGGAGGAGGGAGAGAGAGAGGGAGGAGGGGAGGGGGCAGGAGAGAGAAAGAAGGGAGGAGGGGAGGAAAAAGGAAAGAAGGAAGGGAGGGAGGGAGAGAGTTCACCACCTGGATGAGAGATGAGAGACACACTTTGGAATTTCCAATCTTCTAGCTACTAAAATCGTGTCACTGCACCCAAATCCCTTCCCTCCCTCCCCACCCCAGGAGCGGCAAGTGGCCTCGTGCACTTCTGCCACCAGCACTGACGTGGACAAGTTCGTACTGTCTGCAGGATGGCTAGCGAGTGCCGTGGCCACGCACTGAAACACGAGGGCAGGAGGAGCCAGCCCTTCCTCTCTCTGCTTTTTAACCAGACCCTAGATGAAGAGAGCCCAGGGAGGAAAGGAGGTTCCAAGGGGCTCCTGGGATGCAGACAGTGGACGGGGCCTGGAGCTCAGGGATGAAAAGCTCCGGTCAGACACAGTTCTTCAACAGAAATAGAAGCTTTCGAAATTGCAGAGACCTGAGCTGGCTTTCTGGACAGAGGTACCTATGCATCAAAGGAAAAAAATGTGAAAAAATTGCTTTTGTCTGGAGACAAGAAGCAGCATCTGGAAGTCTTGTCACAATCTCCCTCCCTCCTCCCTGCAATCCCTCCGAGGGTGAGGAAAGCTTTTCCCAGCACCTGTCAAATAGCAGGGACGAGCGGGACATCTGGTGGAGGGCAGGGGAATTACACCAGTGATTGACACATTCACTGCCAGAGCAGAGGAGATGCATGTACACTGGGGGGATGGGAAATAGCCAGGCAAGCATCTCCGGGGAAACAGTGATGTCAAAGTGGACTCTTGCGTGGACACAGACCTAGATTTCATCTGTGCTCAGCTGTATTTGAGAAAAGACCAGGGACTATGATTAAATGTAAGTAGAGAATACATAGTCACAATGCGACTTGCAATACAACGCCCTCACTATTTCTCCTTCATGTGGAGTCCCACGGAAATAAGACACCACCCCAGAAGATGAGGTGTGCTGAGCAGCCGGGAAGTCGCCTCCCCCACAGACGATCCTCAGGCAGGGAGCTCTCCCTGCAGAAGCCGGCCTGGGCTGCCTTGGCTGAGGGGCCCATCAGCTCTGGTGCCAATCTGACCAAGCCGTGGGACTTTGGGCCAGCCGCTTAACCTCTCTAAGGCCGCATTCCCTTAACTGTCAAACAGAAATGATAAGAAAGGCAGCCGCTCACTAAGGGCCAGGTGCTGTGTGCTTTGTGTATCTGACATCACTAAGTGCGCCTAGCCATCCTATGGTCCACTTGACATTCCAGTTTTGTGGGTGAGAGAGGGTAATGGACTGGCCCAAGGTCACATGGCTTACAAGTGGCAGAGCTGGACCTGCTCTGGCTCTGGGCTGCACTCGGGACCACAGCCCTACTCTGTCGCTTAATGTTGGCGTGAGGGTCGGACAAGATGCTACGTTGGGATCTGGGGACAGCCCATGACACTGCTGGGAGGTAGTGGCACCTGTAGGATAGGGTCTGGAGGAAGGAAGCGGAGTTACTGGGGATGTGCCCTGGAGGGGATAGCGAGCCGCTGCCCCCCCACCTCTCTCTCTTTGCTTCCAGGGGCCATGAGGTGGGCAGTTTCACTCCAACGTGTGCTCCACCATGATGTTTTTGCCTTCCCATGGGCCCAAAACCACCTCAGACAACTGACCAGAGACTGAACCTCTGAAACCATAAAGCAGAATAAAACTTTCCTCTGGGTAAGTTGGTGTTTTGTTGTTTATTTCTTTGTTGTTGTTTTTTTCATGGTAACAGAAATCTGCACAGGCAGTGCGAGCAGAGGAGTTAGCAGGTGCCTAGAGGTTTGGTGTGCTCGAAATGTTATTATTATTGTAATTTCACTATCTGGGAAGAGTGTCTTTGAGAAGCTCACCTGGCTTTCGCCCTCCCAGAAAAAGTAACCAGAGGCACATTACACTTGCCTTCGCTTTGAGAACAATTATCTCCCACTCACATCCCCTTCATTTTCGATGTTTTCGTTTTTTGGCTTTATAGTCAATGTGTGTGTCATAGTGTAGGAGCCCTGAGGGTTTTTCTTTTAAAAAAATAAGTGTGGCATAAATCAGAAATAAATAACATTCCTCCCACGGTAAGTGTCATTTCTAATTTTTATTCTAGTTCTCCAGGACAAGTAGAAAATACTGGTGGGACAAAAAAAAAGGAAAATGTCGAAGAGCTAATAAAAACAAAAAAAAGGTTTTGAGTGCTCAAGAGAAGCAGAACAAGCAAGGGAAATAAAAGAGCAAGAAACAGCAAACATTCCAGGAGGAGGCCGTGGTGACAAAGCCAGGGCAGGCAGACGTCATCCTGCTGAGCTCACCCTGCTTGGCCCCCACGAACCCAGAAAGCATCCCAGAGGTGGGCAGCCTGACACCCCAGTGTCTTCTCTGGGCCACGGCTCAGTCCCAGGTCTTTTGCACACAGCAGCGGTCGCCTGGCTGTGCAGCACCTCCTGCAGGTATCCAGCGACTGAAGAGTGGAGGGTGGTGGCTGGCAAATGCACACCTAGGAACTGCCAGCACTAGACCGAAGGACACACTAAACTCCACAAAATGAGTTCCTTTTCTCATTCCCTCGCCCTAGAACGCCTTGGGTGAAGGAGGTGCCCCTTTCTGTAACAGAGCAGTATCGGGTATGTTCATTGCTACACCATTATGGCCACTGAATTATAATCCAGCTGTTAATGGCATCATCTTGAAAACCCAAGAACTCCCCTTGCCCTCCTGAAGGCCTGGCTTTTAGCCAAGTTGTTTTATCTACTGCAATTATATCCAGGATCCTTCTTTTCTGAGTCAAACTCATGGCAGAAATGGCTCTGTTAAATATTCCCTGCCACCTGAAGACCAGTTCTGAACACTGCTACACACCCAGGATCTGGCGGTTCTTGAGTGGGCGCAGAGCTGCCTGGGAATTCTGCAGGTGGCCTGAGAGTCTGCACTGTAATGAGTTCCAAGCTCTGCCTCAGCAGCCCAGCACCCTGCTGGGGTCCAAAGCCCGGCTGCTCCCCTTTTCTCTTCCTCTCAGCACCATGGGAAGCCAGAGTTGGCCGCCCCACATGTGCCGGTTTGGCTCTCGGCTTGAGTTGAAGGCAACTGAGAAACAACAGAAGCCTGAGAAGTACTTTCCCCTGCTCCCTAACTGCCTAAAATGGAATCTGAAATCCCCTTCATGAAGGCAGCAGGAATTCCCACTAGTACAGGTGTCCTTGTCCGACACA